CCGCCCCCCCCATCCCCTGCCTCAACCCCTCCGTGTGGCGGGACGGCTCCTCGGAGAAACCTTCGGATAACGCCGTGCGCTTCCGGGCCTGGAATGGGCAGATGTTTGAGGCAGGGGGGCAGCTCAGGCCAGAGGTGGCAGCGGATGATTGCAAGGTGCGTTGCTGCAAGAGAGGGGAGAGATGGAGGTGTCAGGTTGAACCCACTCTGCACACAACGAGGCTTGAGTAATGCCTGTGCTGCTTATCCTATCAAAAAGAAAGGGGGAAGGGTCTGGTTTACCTGTTCACCACTTTGATTTTCCAGCCCAGGGTGCTAGAGAAGCTCCTGTTAAGTAGATAGGCTTCAAACAGAAAGCAAAACATTCAGTTGTTCCAAGGTTACATGTCGTGTATGTCAGCAGTTACACGGCAGAAGGAGGAATTGCCACCCAAAGCATTTTGTGTTCACTGCATTCAGGGTTGTGTTTGGGGGAACCATTTCAAGCTCAGTTTGACCTGGATGAAGGATCCACGAAATGCTCTCTAAACCTCACCCCAGACCTGCTCAGCCCAAGGGGTAATCCCTTGTTTTCCACAGGGCTTTTCAAGCTTATGCCTCAGAAGCACGTTTCCTTTCCAGCAGCAGGGTTGGAACTGGATGGTCTTAAGATCCTTTCTAACCCAAACTGTTCGGTGGTTCTATGATCCGTACCCCAATTAAACAGCTCTTTCTCTGCCCCTTCCTCCTGCACAGATCAAGGATGGACGCTGGCATCAGACTCTCTTTTCCTTTCGGACACAGGACCCTCAGCAGCTGCCTATTGTCAACATCTACAACCTCCCTCCATCCGAGCCAGGAAAGCAGTATCACCTCGAGGTCGGCCCCGTGTGCTTCCTTTGAACAAAGCCACAGAAACCGGGCTCCAAGGCTTTGACCCCACGTTTGGCCTATGCCTTTACACAGGTTCTCCCACCTCTCTGCAGCAAGGACAGCTGGGCTGGGTCTTTTGGGTCAACTCTTGCTCTTAGCCTTTGGCTCAAGGTCTCAAAGAACCCGTGATCTACTGAACTCAGCAGGTTGTTGGAAGGAGGAATAACAAGGACGTAGGGGAAGTGGGTATCAGTCGGGATGCGAAGAGTGAAAAGGGATCCAGATGTTGCAAGCAGTTCCACACACAAAGCTTTTTCCATGACCAAAGAAAACAGAGAGAAACCTCAAGCAACTTGCAGCATGGGTTGTTTTGGGGGTTTTTTTTCTCCGCCCCCCTCTCCCCAAACCCCATTTGTTTTACCTGGTTCCTGAGTTACCAAATGTTCTTTCCATTGAAAAGTGATTAAAAAGATAGAGCTTCCCTCTCAGAGCTTGTCGCCTTCTGGATGGCCACGTGCTGCATCAGGTCTCCCAGGCGGAGCTGCAGGTTGAATCTGGCTGCTCTGTGTACCGGAAGCATTTTGATGTGCAATATTAGAAAGAAACAAAATATATATATTATATTATTTAAAGCTAAAAAGACAAAAAAAAAAAAGAAAAAAAAATATAATAAACTAGGTTCCTCCTTTCCATGTTCAACCAACATCCCTCCTCATACGTGGCTTTGGGATATGGGAGAGTCCTGAGGCCAAGTAGGGGGGGAATGGAAGGAGGAGAGGGGAAAGAGATTGGTGCTAAAAGAGAGAGAGAGGATGGGCTCGTCTGATTTGTTTCTACCTCTCACTGTGAAATCTCTGGTGCTCTTAACAAAGTGTGTTATTTTATATATATGACTTTATTTAAAGTTGTGAAGGTGCTACAGTGTCTTGCCACAGACCCCCAGAATAAAAGTCCATGGGACCATCTCTCTAGGAAGAGAGGATGAGGTGACGATCTACAGCTAAATCAGGAAACAGCCACCTCTAAAGGGATCCTTTAATCCCCATGGATGCCAATTGAGCGCAACAGCGTCCAAAAATCACTTGTTCAAAGGATGTTTTCAAAGCAAATATGATGATTTAACTTCTGGTTCATCAGCACTTCACTGCTTTGGGAGGGGAGTGAGGGCTGCAGCTCGCCTGCAAGCCCTGAGCCTCAGAGAGAGCTGTAATTGAGTCAGTTGTCTTGTAACTTCACTCTGCTCTAAGCTCATATTCCCTGGTCTAAGGTCGTATTTAAACCCAGCTCTTCAACCCTTCTTCTGTCTGGCCCCTCTGTCAAGACTGATGTGATGGTATCTTGTTCCAGAACCCAGCCAGGCTTGGAGGGGTTTTGTTTTGTTAAGTTTTGTAGAAATTTTTAGTCTCTATATGTAAATTTGGAGGATTTTTGTTTTGTTTTTAAAGAGGTTAATTATGGTAATCTTTAATTCTATATAAGGAATAATATTGATGTAATCAGAGCTGTACTGTATCAGAAACGCTTCAGTGCCTGGTTGGAGTTGTCATGTCTCTTATGGACTATGGATTTTATTTTTTTGAGGAAAAAAAGTTATATGTGAGTCTCTCTTTGTGTATTCTTCTTCTTCAACTACTGCCTGGTGGTTGCTTTCCAACCATCAGAGAAGGTTAAACAAGCTCTGCCCCATATACCTCACCCTCCACGCAGCCCTGCCTTGGCTCAGGAATACCTCACCCTCGGGGCTGGCTCGCCCCAGTACCCCCAGGCTGAAATCACCATCACTCACTGCCCGCTTGCTGCCTTCCCCTGCACACACACACACCCCCCCGCCGGGTTTGTCCCTCTCTCTTGCCATCAGTTTCGTGTGTTCTCGAGGCTGCAGTTACTGTTCGTTCTCATTAAAGCTTTTTTTTATTTTTTCCTTTTTTTTTTCCTTTTTTTTTTGTTTTGGACTTTAAATAAATATTTAAAACTGAGGCAATGAAATGGGACTGGTGTGGGTTTATTTGCATGGGAAGCTAAATGGGCAATGAGTGAAGAAAACCTCATTCTTAAGGATGATAATGTTGGTGTTAGCATCCTGGTGATAGTCACAGCCCAACCCTCACCAGGATGGGATGGTGATGGCTCCCCGCTGCTGTGCATCACCCAACCACCCCAGGCTGGAGCAGCTCTGCTCTGGAGCCAGGCTGAGAGAGCTGGGCTGGGTCAGCTGGAGAAGAGAAGGCTCCTGAAGGGGAGACCTTAGAGCAGCTCCAGTGCCTAAAGGGGCTCCAGGAAACCTGGAGAGGGGCTTTGGGAAAGGACCTGTAGGGACAGGACAAGGGGAATGGCTTTAACCTGCCAGAGGGGAGATGGAGATGAGCTCTGAGGCAGAAGCTCTTCCCTATGAGGGTGCTGAGGTGCTGGCACAGGGTACCCAGAGAAGCTGTGTCTGCCCCATCCCTGGCAGTGTTCAAGGCCAGCTTGGACACAGGGGCTTGGAGCAACCTGTTCTAGTGGAATCTCTAAGGTCCCTTCCAACCCAAACCAGCCTGATTCTATGAGCTCAGTATCTAACACATAAACATAATGGAACATGCATTCCTCTTCTGCAAAATTTTTCAGTTATACGTAAAAAGTGTGTTACATCCTGACAGTGCTGGAGAGCAAGAGGAGAAGAAAAGAAAGAAAAAGAGCTGAGCTGATACTTTTCACATTGCTGAAGCCCAAATCACACCTCATTGCTCCAAGCTGATTTGAAACCCACCTTCTCCTTCCTTCAGAGCCCCAGGCTAAATCCTTGTGTCTGTCTCTACAGCCACTGTCATCACACCCATTGGAGACAACAGAAAAGTCCCCATGGGCTCAAGCCAGCAGAGGAGGACATCACTTCCCATCACACCACACACTATGGGAGCTGCCTGGGCTTGTCCCGGGTTGCATCAGGGGCAGCGGGAAGCGGCCGCGCTGTGTTTGCTCACCCCACGCTGCTCCCCTTCCCGGCAGCGCTCCTGCGGCTGGGGGGGGCTGGGCGGCACCCCCGGGCAATGTGGGGTGATGGGTGCTGGGGCCAGGTCAGCTTTGGCAGCGCTGGGCTGGGGCTGACCCACATGAGCTGGTCACACACGGCTCCCGCGGGCAGGGAAACAGCAAACACGGCTCATACATAAATCACTGCACGTCATTGTGAGGCCGGGATTGGAGCAAACACAAACCACTGTTAAACAGAAAGATTCTGCTTTTGAAAGTGTTGTAATGTCTTTATTCTGTTAAAAGCCTGAACCCATCGCACTGACTATTCCCTGCCTTGTACCCCACCCCCAGCCAGGATTTACTTAACAGTTCCCTGTCTCTGATAGTTATTTTAACTTACTTAAAATAAAATAATCACTTAAATTACTTATAATAAAGTAATTAATTATCAGCTGTGTATGTTAGCAGCATCCACAGCCCAAAGGCCACTTGATCACTGCAGCACTAGGATGAGACAAGCAACAAGCATCACAAGGCTACCAGCACACAACAAGGAGCTCAGCTGGAAAGGGCAAACCCCCAAATTTCCTCATGGGTGAGCAGCCACCCCCTCAACACCATCACGGGTGTTTATGTGCCCTGTGGATGAAAGCCACATCCAGGAGTCATTCAAAGAGCCCCTGATCTCTACGAGGCACCCACAAAACCACACTCACCAAACCCTGTATTGGTGAAACCGGGAGTTGGGTTTTTCCCTCTCTTACAGGTTCAATTTCCTCCACCTGCTATTGCTTCATACCTGAGCAAACAGCCCCGCAGCTGAACAAGCACATCGGGGCTGGGGACAGCCAGGTTTGCAGGTGCTGTATATAAGGAAGGGAGCCAAGCAGCAGCTGGTCAGCACAGGAGTCTCCTCTCATCCAGCCAAGAGATGCTGCCCGTCCTCACCCTCCTCCTGGGGCTGCCGCTCGCCCTTGCATCCCCCACGTGTGCCCCACTCATCCCGGTCACCTTCGACAATGCCACCGTCCCTGGGGTAAGCACCGATCCTTTCCTATCAGCATCACTAGTTGTTATGGGTGCAGGAAGATAAGCTCAATGCTTATCTCATGCTTATTTCCTTAACAAGAAGTCAAGCTCCTCTGCCCAGGAGCACGGGAAGGGGTGAAGCCTTGCTGCTCTGCACCCAGAACCTCATGAGCAGGCACTTTTGGGTGGCTCCTGCTTCCATCTCCCCGTGCAAACCAGGCTGGGCAGCACCATCCCCAAGGCTTTGCCACTCTATTGTAAGTCCTTCAAGCGTTGGGTGCTCAGGTCACAAGTCTCCATCCACAAAACCCTTCACTGCATAAACAGAATTTAGCCCCTTGGGGGTGTTTAATGGGAGGAAAGCAACGAGTGCCAGGCACAGCGAAGGGGGGACAACACTGCAGAAACAAGTTGGAGTTCTGTGGAGCTGGAGCATCACTTGAGCAAGGAGGGGACAAACCCAAGAGCCTCTCATCTGGCCTGGATCCTGCCTGGGACAGTCACATACTGGGGCACAGCAGGGCACAGTGGATGATTTTACCCACATGGTGCCCATGGATATACCCAGCATGGACCCCCCAACCCTGCCCTATTCCCCTCCTCTCCACAGCTCCTGGGACACTGGGTGTACATCGCCGGTGCCTCCAGGTACCCGCCTCACCTGGAGGAGCTGAAAGCCCTGAAACATGCAGCTTTCTCCTTCTCTCCCGGCAGCCACGAGGACGAGCTCAACGTCACTGAAACCATGCGGCTGTAAGGACAGGGATTCACCCCTCACCAGCTCCTCCATCCCCAGAGGCTGCTGGTGCCACCCTCCCGCACAGACGTGGGGCTGGAGAGCAGCCATGCCCAAAGTGTTTGTGTTCTGAACCCCTCGGGTTTGGCTCGGGCAGTTTAGGGGGGAATTGTCCCATCTGACCCTTTTGCCCTGCAGGAATGAGACGTGCGTGGTGAGGAACACCAGCAAGGTCCTGGTCTTTCGGCACAACTCCACCTTGGTGCATGGTAAAGCCCCGGCTGCAATGGATGGGATGGGATGGGACGGGACACGGGGAGAACAATGCCACAGCCACATCTTGCACCCTCCTGCATCTGCCCCACAGTATTTGGCATCAGGCCCCTTTACACCTAAAACCATGTCTGAAGGGGATGGGGGGTTTCTTCCACCCCATGTGATGGGTACAGCAGCACTGCAGGACCAGACTGGTCCCCACTGGGATGAGGATAAAGAGGGTGAACAGCCTCAGCATGGGTGATGCTCACCAGTGGGTGACCCCACTCTCTTCGTGCCTTCCAGTTGATGACCAGGTGTTCGCCACTGCCAACCTGATCCAAAGCGACAAGGACCTGCTGATCCTCAGGCATCTCAACGATGACATCCCATCTCTGAGCCTCTCGGGTGAGCAGATGCTGCCCTGGATCCCTGGGGCACATCCCTGCCTGGGGATGAGTCGATGGGCATGATGCAGGCAGGGCAAAAAACCCCTTCTCCTCTGATATGGAGAGGGGTGGGCATGCAGAGAGCTCCCCATCTGCACTACAGGGACCACCAAGGAGCAAAGTGCCCCCTAAACTTTCCTATTTACCCCCTTCTCCTTTTACCACCCCATTTCTCTGCAGCACGGACGCCCAATGTGAGCAAGGAGCAGCTGGAGGAGTTCAGATCCCATCTGCACTGCCTGGGCTTCACCGAGGAGGACATCTACTTCACCTCCGAGAAGGTACGAACCCATCTCCAGGGTGGGTGAGCCCTAGCCCTGGACCAGCTCCTGCCAATGTCTTGGATGAAGGTCCAGGGGGGGATATAAGATCAGATCCAGACCATGGCACTAAGTCCCTTCTCCTCCCCATGCATCCACCTCGGTCATTCCCAGCTCTTTGAGCTGTTCTGGGGCAAGGGGCATGAATAGATGCTCTCTCCTATCCCACAGGATGCCTGTCCCCTGCCTGAGGAGAAGAAGGACGAAGGAGATGCGGAGTAATAGCTGAAATAACCCCCATGGGCCAGGTCGGCCACTCCATCCTCATCCTTCTCTGGCCCCTCCATGGGGACACCCCCGCTCAGCTCAGCCTCAGGACTTCCTGTTGAGGTTTTGGTTTTCCCCCTGGATGAAACACCCGTTTCCTTGTTCTCTCCTGGACTCACAATAAACCCGTGTTACAACCGCCTGCTGCATCCTCACTGGGACCACAGGCAGGACCTGTCCTGCTTGCGCTGCCCATGATGCTGCACCTCCAAACCCACCGAGAGGTGCGACAAGTCCAAACCAAACCCTGATCATGGCAGTGGGCACATAGATGTTCATCCCTCCACCAGCTCCGTGGTGTCAAAAGACGCCCCCTGGCCACCCCATCCAGTGGGTCCCCTCTACTATGGGGCACCAGGACATGAGCACCTCCCCATCCGAACCCCTCAGGTCTCCTCCATGATGACTTGATCCAGCCAAGGTGCTTTTAGCACCTCAACATCCCACCATGAATTCTCAAGCTAAATCCTACACGCTCTGCCTGCACCAAGGGCTTGCGCAGGGGTTGGGATAACGTGGGGTGACATCGTACCTTCACTAGGTGTCTCTGAGCAGAGAAAGGGGAAGAAGATGGGAAAAACCATCACCCAGGGCCAGACCGAGTGTCTCGGGGAAGCTCCACACCAGAGAGGAAAAGGCAAATAGAAATAAAGCCGGGAGAGCAGGTCCTGCCCTGCATGGGACAGCATGGGGACAAGCAGCAGGATAGGGACAGGAACACCTTCCACTGGAGCAGGTTGCTC